CGTGGCTTTCGGTGTCAGTTTAATTGTGGTTCAATGTGTGAGAAAGGCAAGTGAGGATAAGCAGTGAGAGAAAGCTCAGCTGTAGGATGTGAGCCACTTCTGTCCGCAGTTCTGTGTCACACATCTTGAGGGTTTGAGACCCTTCCCTCAGCGAAGCTGCTCAGGGTTGGAGCAGGTAGAGCTGTGCCCAGGAGGGACTTTGGCAGCAGGAATGTGCACGGGAGCAGAATCTGCTTCTATGCTGATGGTTGTACAGTTGGGACTTTGCTTGCGAGAGCAAATTTTTGATGAAAGGTGGAGATTCAGAATCAGGGTGCAGCCTGACAGAGTATGTGAGCTTTGCTAACTGAAGTTTTCCAAATTTGATTCAGGATAAAAGAAGAGACTCTTCTTATTCTTGTGTCTCTTGGCCACACTGCCCATGGCAATTCATGCTGAAAAGCAGCAGGGAAGGGGCTTGGTTTGGCTTTGAGTGCAGATGCCTACACTGCTAAACAGTTCCTCCCAAACTACAGTTCTGCTCCCATTTCTGCACAGTGAAAAGCTAAGCCGGAGGTGGCAAGCATTGGCGTATTTGCTCCATGAACTGAAGGTGTTTATTTTTTGAGTAATGTCTGTTCTTCTGTGCTTTTTTAAAATTTCCAAGAATCACCTATTTAATTTTTTATTACCTAGTTTGTCATTATGAGAACTCCTCATTTCTTGATATCAATATTTAAGCAAAATTCATTGGCAGACTGTAAACTTAAGAACTGTATTTGAATTCATGTTCTGTCAAAGATGCTAATAAACACACAGGGGTTGTTGAGGAAGTTTAGTGCCTGGATGGACAATGTCCCTTTCATCAACGTTAATGCTTGCTTGCCACCTCCAGTTTTCATGTCCATTGTGTAATTGCTTACATCAGTTGACGATCTAGGAGTGTTGTAAAAAATGTTTCTTGTTAATATCTGTTGATAGTTAAAGTCAGTAAAGTCTGTAATGTTAATGATTTAATGGTGGTTGTTCAATAAACAGGGCTGAAAGCAAACATTGTTATCTAATCTTGTAGCACTTTTTATCCTCATTTGCTTTGTAGATGTTAATTGAGATTTTTAAATTAAGTATTATTTAGTTTATCACCTCATTGCCTTCTAGAGGAAATGGGAACATCAAATTTCTGACTAAAGGGGATAATAATGAAGTTGATGATAGAGGCTTGTACAAAGAAGGTCAGAACTGGTTAGAGAAGAAAGATGTTGTTGGAAGAGCAAGAGGGTAAGTAAAGCAAAATGTACTTTGTAATTAAAGAGAAAAATTAGCTCTTAAATTGGTTCTGCTGTTGATACAAACCAGATTTGATGTATTTTTAAAATTTTTAAAATAGAATTGTAATTTAAAAGAAAACCTAGAAAAGTTGCTTCCTATAGTCCTCACACTGATGTGGAGTGTGGGGGGGGAAAAGAGGGCATTTAGCAAATAGCTCACCTGAAAATACAATATTAACCATCTTCTCCTTGTAATTGCTGGGAATTTCTAGGAAATTGTTTTGGCATTCCACAGGAATTTTATGGAAGGTTTGAGCTTTTGATTTTGTCTCCTTCTCCTTCAGCTGAGCTGAAATCTCTTCAGATTTTCTCAGATAACTTTGATTAAGGAAAACTAAGGAATTTTACTTCCTATTCAGATCCGCATTAGGTGTAAATTATGGGATCCCACTGAAATATTCCAGACTGAGTAACATTAAAAGACTTGCGTGTAATATTTGAGGGTTAATTTTACATTCACCTGTTTTATCAATTACAGGTTTTTGCCCTATGTAGGAATGGTAACTATAATAATGAATGACTACCCAAAATTTAAGGTATGTATACTGACATTTTGAATACTTGAATTGCTAAAATAACAAGTACAGACAATAAGAACCTTGCCTCTAAGCAGACATGTTAAAAAATTTGTATCTGTAGTTTGGTACCTAACGTAAGATGAGCTGGGTTTCCTTACTTACTGATGGGCAGTAGAATTTGTTGTTTGTAAGGAGTTGAAAACATGTAATTTCTCAGAATTTTGTTAGTTAAGTGTATGCAGTTGTGATGCCTGATGAATTTTATCACTTTAAAGTCTTCCTGCAATTTTGTAGTATCAGAGCTCTGTAATTGTGCAAAGTGTGGTGTTTGAGAGGGCACCTTTTGAACAGTTTGTGCTTTCAGAGCTCAGTGGAGAGGAATTGTAACGCGTCTGTGTTCTGTGTTTCTTTGCAGTATGCTCTCCTGGCAGTGATGGGAGCATATGTACTGCTCAAGCGGGAATCCTAAACACAAGAACAAAGGGAAATATACAGGGGGGAAAAATAATATATTTCAGATGGTTTCATTTCTCTGTATGATGACAAAACTGTGCAAGCTTTTGTCTTATCTAAATAAACGACAACTAATGAGTGAAGCTGTTGGCTGCTGGCTAATTACAAAATGATGCATTTACCACCTTCTACAGACTGCTCTCAGCTAGCCTGGCACTGGTTTGGAGGACTGGAGCAGCCAGTTTGATGCTGGTTTGGTGCTGGAGCAACCAAGGGCTCTCTTGCCATGCTCAGTGGGTTTGAGTGACTGGTGCTGCATCTGGATCCACTTTTGCCCTCCTGTTTGTTTTGGGGGTTATTTTTAATCTGTCAGTGCCCTCTTTTCTCCACCATACAAACTATTTGGATCAGTGCTTGTAAGGACACAGAATCTCTGAACAGGTAGTAAGTTCTAAGAGTTTAGTCAGACTTATGCCTTAGTTGGCTGGTTGCGGCTGCCAAAAACAGCCAGGCAGGGGAGTTCCACTCTGACTTGGTACTGAGCAGTGGGGACTCAGAGCATTTTCTCTGAATTTGAAACTTGCTCTTTCACAAGGTAAGGAAAAAAGCCCAGATGGCCTGATTTTTAGAGGCCTGCTTTTTAGGGACTGTGTGTGTTGCTAGCGTTCAGGCTGTTGATGATCTGCCTTTTGTGTTCTAGCTCTTAAACTAACCTAACAAAAAGGTTTTCTGGGGCTTTAATAACACTTGTAAATTAATGAATGAATAGCACAGTAGTGCACTTCAGGGATATTGCCGAGGCAGGGAAACCAGAGCTCTTATGCCAGTTTGGAGAATGTATTATTCTCTCCTATCATATAACACCTGAATAGTGTTAAACATAAAATTGATTTTTCATTAAAAAACTTACCTGATAACTGTCTTTCATGAAATTTGGCATTTCAAATTTCAAATGTCAGTGTTGCACCTTCAACAAAGCAGAACTTGTTTTCCTTGCTGGCTTTGATTTTGTAGCTTTGATAAGGAACAGCATGATGCTTTTTACCTCTGGAGTTCTGTTTCTTCTTTAATCCCTTACCTCTGCAAAAATACTCTATTATACAATAATGACACCTTTTCTGTTGTAACAGCTCATGCTTAGCAGACAACTGCTGAATTTCTCCAAGTAATATTACTTCTTTTGTGTCCTACTAAGTGGTTTTCATGTCCAACTGTATTATAAAAATTACTTATTTTGTGTCAAATTGTATAGAAATAAAATCAAGTATAATAAATGGCATGGCAGAATAATATTGGGATCATTAATGGAGTCTTCCTGGAAGTGTATCATCCCAGTTGAGAAAAAATAATGTGTTTTTTGGAGTGTATGTGGAGTAAGATTTTTTTTCTTTCTCTTGACATTGCTGAAATCCAGATTTATGCTGTCCACCTACCCCAGTATGAGCACAGTCAGCTCTAATTTGGAGAGTGCAGTTGGACATTTTGCAGCTGGTCAACTGTGACACTGGGATCTAGTCACAAGAGTGGCTCAGAGCCGTGCCAGAGGGGATCAGAGTGGATGTTGGAAACCATTTCCATACTGAGAGGGTGCTCAGGTCTGGAGCAGCCTCCCTTGGGAGAGGATGGATGCCCCAGGCTCAGCATTCCAGCAGCACTTAAACAGTGCCCTTGAGCTTCTGGGCAGTCTGAAAGGGCTCAGGCTGTTGGGCCGGGTGGTCCCTGTAGGCTGTTCTGGTCCACAGGCATGTCCATAAATGCTTCCCATTTGAATTCTGCAATTATTGAACCCTTCCACTTCAAAAATCATAAACCCAAACTTGTGGCTGCCACAGCGGCCTGGCACAAGTTAAATGTGCAGTGAGCAATCACTGTGCTTAAGCTTCAGCTGTCCAGGGCTTCCCAAAATGCAGCACAGTGTCAACTATCTTACACTGGACCTTATTAAATAAATGTTACTATTTCATATTATTCAGCCTCTGTAAAGTTGCGGAGCTCTTTTCTGAGAAATGTCTTCAGTTCTTCAGGGAGCTGTTGCTGCACTGAGTCGATGTTGAGGTTATTTGCAGAACACCTGCTCTGAGTGTGGGTTGGAAATGCTGGAGATTAGTCTATTCAGCATCTTCAACATTTGCAGAGTATTCCTCAGTGATCACGCCTATTATTACGTTGGAGATAGGCTTCCACCGGTGTTTGTTCTGTACATACTTCCTGGCTGCGTGTAACACCAGGGTCCCTACAAAGAAAATGATGAAAGGCACACCATTCTTATATTACCCTTTTTTATAGCCATTAAATATGCATTGCTGATAGAACAATGATGCTTGTGTAAAATGTGAAGGAAGCAGATTAAAGTGTTATCATGGTAATAGCACTTAAAAACCATGAATGTTCTCCTGTCATGAAGCACAGCAACATTTTGCTTTGCCGTGGATATATGAAAAGGGGAAGGGTATTTTAAAACAGAGAGAGCTGTTTCTTGATGTTTAAACACAAACTGATGTTATCAGGCTTCTTCTTAAAGAGGAATATTGTCTTGGGTGACTTGAGTCATTCAGAGTTCATAAAATCCTTTGGTTGTACCTGGTTCCTTTTCTGTTGTGGGGGATCCAGAATAATATTTCTCTATACAATGAAGTTACTATTTTCCTTAGAAGGGTAATCAATTAAGAATTAGAATAAATCCTTATGAACAAGTGAATAAATAATAAAGGCATAGTACATATACAACATACGAGAAAGGTTTATTTGCTTGCATGGTATTTTCAGTACAAGAGACTTGGGACTGAGTAAGAATTCATGTTTGGTTGGTTTTGTTTTTGTTTTCTGAAATGGACAATTTCCTGAATTTTTAAATTTCTTGCCTTGGTTGCCCCAAATGATTAGGAGTTTCTCTGGATTGCAATATTTTATTTGATCAGCTGTCACTCAGAACAGAGCACATGTTGGTAGCTGTACTGCGAGCTGCACAGTGCAACTTGAGGCATGAAAATACTATTGTGAATTAAGCACGAATGCATAATTAATAACCAAAATAAAAGAATGAATTGCATTAATCAGTAAAAGAAGATGAAACAAACTGTGGCTAAACAAGGGAACATTTTGGCTCAATACAGCAGGATACACGATTGATTTCAAAAGAAGAACTTCAAAACAAGAGTTTGCCTGGAAATTATGTTAATTCATATCCGTGTGAGTTTCCAGTAGGGATAGTTCAGTTCCAGTCATGTTGGGGCTGGCTGGAGGAGCTGGCAGGTTCCTTACAGTCAGCTCTGCTTTCTGTGTATCCCGACTCTGCCGTAGGTCTGTAGACAGCAAAATCATCTCATAAACTGCACACATTACACGTGGCTTCATCCTGTCTGCTGTTCTCTTGGGTGACAAACAGGCACATCAGGACTTTATGTCCCATCACTGCTCACCCACCTTCACTTCAGTGAAACCACTTTGTGTTCCACTTCAGGGCTTTTCCAGGGATGTACTGCCTCTTTTCCCTGCACTGCCTCTTCAGGCTGGAATTCTTTTCATCCATTTACTACTAAGTTGGCCAGTTCCAGGTGCCTCAGGGGCTTCAAAGTTTACAGGGTCCCTGTGCAGGGAAAGCAGAAAGTCCTGTAAATGCGCTTCCATTTACTGTCACTTGTGACAGGAAATTTAGGTGATACTGGAAAATAAAATAAGCTCTTTGCACCAGATTTTCATTTCCAGCGAGGGACAGCGAGCCCCTTTGCCCCAGGTGCAGCCGCATCGAAGCCCGCACGGTGCGGTTCTGCAGGGCGGGGGTGACGTCGTCCCCTGCAGCTCCCGGGTCCCCTCCGCGGCCGTTGCCGCCCTCTGAGGAGCTCCGGTGCCCGGGCGCTGCCGGCAGCGCCGCCCCGAGGTGTCCGGGCCGCCCTCAGCACCGACTCCCGGCGGACGGAGAAGGGGAGCACGAACTTGTGGGACGCGCCCGTGTTGCGAAGGGAAGCGAGAGGGAGAGCGGCCCCCCCTGCCCCGGGCCGCGCCCCGGGGCCGGCACCGCCTCAGCTCCCCCCGCGGGCGCCGGCGGGGCGGGAGCGGCCCCGTGAGGAGGCGTCAGGCGCGGGGGCTCCGCTCGCGCCGGGCCCGGCTCCGGATAAATGAGGGGCGGCGGCGGCGGCGCTTCGGAGCCTTGACGGAGCCGGAGCGGAGCGGATCGCGGCTCGGGCAGCACCGGCAGCACCCGCAGCAGGGCACGATGCGGGGCGGGCGGCCCGCGGCGCTGCCGCTGCTGGCGCTGGCGCTGCTGACGGCGCAGGGCGGAGCGGCGCCCCTGCAGCCCGGCGGGACCCCCGCGCTCACCAAGATCTACCCCCGCGGCAGCCACTGGGCTGTGGGTAAGTGCGGTTTAACTCCTACAAAGGCACTGGAACGCAAGGTTCCTGCGTCCCGTGTCGAGGCAGGGTAAGTCTAAAACCTCGGCTTCTCCATCCACTTTTATTCCAGCAAATCTTACCAAGAGCTTCTCTCTATCTCCAGACAAAGTGCTTGGTAATCGCTGCCCCTTTCTCAGACACGTTTTCTCTGACAGTGTAACACAAGAGACAGAAAAAATTAATAGTACTGCGTGACACTGACAAAGTCTTTGCTCCCAGTAGTGCTACAACTCGACATTCCCTTCCCTTCCCTTCCCTTCCCTTCCCTTCCCTTCCCTTCCCTTCCCTTCCCTTCCCTTCCCTTCCCTTCCCTTCCCTTCCCTTCCCTTCCCTTCCCTTCCCTTCCCTTCCCTTCCCTTCCCTTCCCTTCCCTTCCCTTCCCTTCCCTTCCCTTCCCTTCCCTTCCCTTCCCTTCCCTTCCCTTCCTTCCCTTCCCTTCCCTTCCCTTCCCTTCCCTTCCCTTCCCTTCCCTTCCCTTCCCTTCCCTTCCCTTCCCTTCCCTTCCCTCAGTCAGTAACAAAGTCCTGCTGATGTTTGAACAATCAAAGCTTTACCTGTTTTGGTTAATTTTGTGCTACTTTAATTGTTGTTGCAGGACATTTAATGGGGAAAAAAAGCACTGGAGATTTTCCTTATGGTTTTGAAGAAGAAAACAAGACACCATTTTCAGCATTACCTGACAATATCAAGCAGCTGGAAGAGTATCTGCAGTGGGAAGAAATCTCAAAATATTTGCTAACACTGCTGGAAAGGAATGAAAATAAAAGTGGTCACTTCTCAAAAGGAGGGCTCCCCTGGTATACCAGGAACACCTGGGAGACAGATGACAATAGCAGTTGGAAACATGTAAGTAAGATAAAACCTGTAAAGATATTCCATGTGTCCAGTTTTTGGTTTACAGTAGCATGTCAGCTTCCTCTAACTGGTGGATTGTCCAGAAAAGCAGCAGAAACACATCTCATGTATTAGATATTCAGTACTAGTACTACAAGACTCTGCTCTAGATTACTGATTGTCACTCACCAATTGTATTTTTGATGACTTCATTTGCTAGTGGGCATAAACACAGCATGCGTTCAGCAGATTTTAGTGCCTGGGTTCCCTTCAAGCTGCTTGGTTGGGCCATTCTTTTCTTTGAGCTTAGGTGATCACATCAGCAGCACATACTGCCCAGTAAAGCCAAGCTAGTGTGAAAAACAAGTGTGAGGGCAGGAGGAACCACATCACATTGACCACCCCCTTCCATCACCATTCAGGATGTTCTGCCTTGGGCTAAGTAAAGCCAGAGGGCTGCAGAATTTTCTCTGGTCCCAGCTTTATCCTTGTTTCCTTTGTCTTTTCTCCAGCCCATGGTGCTGGCTACTGCTGTGGTCATTCCTGGATTTGCTAAAGGAGTCTGGGGCTACTGATAAGCTGCCCCTTCTCATCCCTCAAATTAATGTTCTTCTTAGTGCTGTTGCACGAGACAACAAGGTTTTAGAATAGATTAATCCCTATTATTTTAGGAAATCCTATAAAACACACAGGGAAGGATAACAGTGAGGTTTTACAGAAAGTTATTGGGGTCTAATGTAAATTGCAGGATCCACAAGAAAATTCCTTTCCTTATAATACCTCAGGCACAGTCATGGTGATAAAGCTGCAGAATCCTTTTGGGTGACAATGAAATAGAACAAACATATTAATACGCCCCCTTAAAGACATCAATGGGAAGAATTTTTACTTCCCATATTCTACTGCAATATGATGTCATTAATATTCCTGGGCTAACTTCAGCCTGGTTTCCCTCCTGAAATCCTGGTGCAATCAAATCAGTGAATATTTAGGCTTTTATTGGAATGTGGGTAAAAAAATCACCCTTTAAATTAAGCTGTGATTTAAGTCTCTCACACCAGTGATATGAATGCTGCCCATAGGTTTCTTTTTGGCTGTAGCTTTATGATAGTGATACATCACAGTAACTGATTATTAATACTATCTAAAAGATAAACTATTTATTCCATCTTCAGTTCTGCAGTGTGCAGCTTTGTAATCAAATTAAATGAACAAATTCCATTATTTAATGTAAAGAGGGAAATGTTCTCACTTCTAAAAGTATCATCAATAAATCCTACTTATGGAGGCTGCAAGGTGCCTCTGGTAATTTGAATCATATCCATATGTGTATACTTTCACTGTAAATTAACATCCGCATTTCTGTGGTCGGACATCGAACATCCTTATGGAATAATGAGGTTATTGCCTTAAGTATACAGATTTTTGCAAGGATTTCTGCAAGGATTAGTAAAAAAAGCTCATGTTTTTCCTGTGACTAAGATAGAGGACAACTTGCAGAACCTCATTTGATAGAACATTTGATGTCCATCATTAAACAGTTTCTTTGTCTCTACCCTGAAGTAAAATCTAATGAAAATAGCTGTAGCTGTATTTTCCTGCTGTTGGACACAAATATCTGATGATACACAGCCTAGACAGGATATGATATCCGGTTTTCCCCTTGGCTTCAAGAAAGCACCTGAAATTTAAGGTATTTCTGAGATCTTCCTTCTAGATGAAGAAAACATGAAGATCAAAAGGAATGTGCTTTACTCTTTTGAGGGCAGGGATAGTTTCCTAAACATTTCAATAATAAGAATTATTTTTAATTTTAAAGTTATTTTGAACAAAGGATGCCTTATTTATAAAGGTGGAACTCTGATATACGGAATGTGACATTCATGTGCATAGCGGTACAAATGCATAACTGGCCCTTGGGGGTTGATTGTGTAGGTTTGTCAGGATGTGAGGCGTTTCAGGTGCACAGACTTTGGTTAGGCAACACCTTGGGGTAAGGTGCTGCTGTACCACAGCTGTGGAAGGTGTCCATACAGAGGAGAGGATTATCAGGTACAGGAAGCTGAGGATAATGGCACAGTGGATCCAGAAAATTTGTCCTTGGCATGAAATACTTTTCCAGGCCTAGTTCATGTGAGTTTGGAACAGAAACTTTTTATAGGAGGAACCAGACACCTGATTTGCAGCGGGTTACTGTTCCCTGTGCAGTGGCCTGTTGGACTGAGATACTAAATGTGACCAAAAGAAGGTAAATAGTGAACACTGCTGCCAGCTTCTGTAATTCCCATGCACTGAGAGAGATGCCAACCACGAGGAGCCTGCCTGCAGCCCTGTGCTCCACCTGCTGCACACACCCAAGACTGGCTGTGTTTGGAACAGACAGACTCCGAGAACTTTGTTTCATGGATGCTTTCAAATTTAGCTGATTTAATTTAAAATTTGAATTTTAAATTTAAGATCAGGAAGCCCTAAAGCTAGAAGTAAATACACATAAGTACCTCAGGTAACTCAATTCAGCGTCTCTCTTATTAGCCCAAATCATCCAGTGCATCACCACTGATGCTCACTCTGGGCTGTACATCTCTTAAGAAGAAAAGAATTCTTTCCAAAGAACTCACTCAGAGGAGGGAAATGGCTGTAACACACAAAGAGTCAAAAAATGGAAGAGGTGAGCCTAGTACTTCTTGGGCTTTGGGTTAGGATGGTGTACCTGTGTTATTTTGTTTTCAGTTAATACCTTGCCTGCTCTTTATTCTGTGAATAAATTACAGTTAATGTAGTTAAAGAGGATGGAAATCTCTCCTGCAAGTTGGACTAAGTGCAAAAGTAAGTTGGAAAATAGACTTTAAATTGTTTCTATTAGTTGGCTTTTTCACACTAATGAGACAGGATATAAATGAGATGGCACACAGAATTATTTGGGAGAATGACTTTCCTCCTACTTTGGCAGTTAGTTATTACACTAACCAAGACAAATGGGGTCTGTTTTGGAAAGATTATTAGGAATATGTTTGTTATGTGAATGCACAGAGCAGTTATCTATTAGGTTTATTAACTTATAGAAGGTTTATTATCTTAGTGAATTACTTTTTTCAGGACTGATCTATAAATAATATATTTTTCTTTTTATTAGATGATGGACTATCTGCTTCAAGTTGTGAATATGAAAGAGAGCACTCCAAGCTGAAAAAAAATCACCAAATCATAAGGAAATTGAATACTTTCTGTAAGAGACTATATTTCACAAGCACTTGATTGTGTCAGATAATCAACATGGTCACTTTTCTGTACACAAGAATTCCTTTGTGTAAAGTATTTAAATACACACTTGTATGGTTCAGCAAGGACTAAATCCTCTACTTCACTTTCAAGGTTGCATTTTCTCATTTGGATGGCTTTGAGATATATATATATATAATTGTCACGGAAGGGTCTTCCAATTAATTATATTACGTACCTATCGAATCATTTCTTCCCTTAGTTTGAAACTACATGACATTGCAACATTCACAATAAATAGTACCAAGGAAAAGGCGGAGTTTATGCTTTTATTT